CGTTCACCCCGGTGGACGAACGTCTAGCACAATCGCTCATCTGCGCGACGGAAGAGAAGGACGAGAAGATCAAGGATCTCCTTTATAAGCGCTTGGAGCGTATATTAGCATAAAAAGATCCATAAAACTATTTGGATGTCTCAAGATGGAGAAACTCGGCTCACTATCTTGTTACAGCCAAGAATGTGCGCCCAAAAAATACAAGGAAATCTTAATGTCGAAAAGCAGCCACAACAGACGGCCAACTCATTCGCTACTCGTTTCTCACACCTGCTCTCATAGGGCACTCTTCAACAAACCGACGGCGTTCATTAAATACCGCCGCAGAAGCAGTAAACGGATTTCAGCGAGTCCGAAAGCAAAACTGATAGGATAAGGAGTGTCAAGAAGCTGCAGAGAAAAATAATGCCACCTACAGGGTCACGCTGCGATCAGGCGTCAGTTGGCGCAGAAGAGAAACGACTGGCGTGCTCTGTTGAACTCAGCCAAAATCGCTTTGGCGGTTACAACGTCAAATAAGAAGAAGAGGATTTAATATGTCAGAAAAGACCCCTCATCTAAATAAAAGTTTGTTTTAAAATTTTCTTATATTACTTTATTTCGAAATTGCCTTGTCTGAACTCAGAGGTGTATGACGAACATCTGTTGATACGGTGTAATATATATATCTGTAGCAGGGATGTTGCGAATATTTGCATTCGCATTCGTTATGCAAATGATTCGCATCATTTTACACATTCCCATTCGCATGAAATGATACGAATGTTTTGCGAATGCGAATGTGTACATGGGCAGAGAGTCCACTCTAATATTTTTGAAATGGCTCTAAGTCTGTCTAACCAGGGTGCGCACAATAACCGGCTTTTAGCTTCAGACGCTAAACGTTTAAGTAATATATCAAGCAACATTGATGGGCCTTCAACAAGTACTGCTAAAAGTCTTATAAGCAACTTAGAAATAATTTTAGATTCCTCCAGCGAAAGCACGAATGTTTAATTAAAATTAAACAAAAATTAAAAATGTTAAATTAAAGCTCAATTCAAGGCCTATCTTAAAGAAAAACGAGCTCATCTCGGTGAAAATCCCTTCGATTGGTGGAAAACTAAACTAAAATACGACAAATTGACAGATCTGGCCCGCAAATATTTGAACGCTCCACCTGCCAGCGTTCCTAGTGAGCAATTGTTCAGTGCAGCCGGCCTTATATACGAGCCTCTAAGAAATCGCCTCATGGGATAAAGGGCAGCAAAATTAATTTTTTTTTAAATATAATATGCCGCTTTTGAACTTTGACTACTATAATAAAACACTATATAGGTTAAGCACTCATTCAATACTGTAATAATTTACAAAATTTTTGAATAATAAAATCGATGACTTAAGTCGATTATAGCATTTTTTTAATGTTATCCTAAGATTCGCGAATGTGAAAAATATAAAAAATTCGAAACATCCCTATTCTGTGGTCATATCGAATAATAGCTTAAGGCGAGAGGCTGGCTTTATTTTAATACGCCATTCCGTTTATTGTTTAAACCACAAGGAAATTTTTTGTTAACATTTAAACAGAATATCGTCAGAACTATTCTTTTTACTTTTATTTGCCAAGAGTTCTTCAAAGGCTTGGCGCCAAATTCCCGACTTAAACTACCATTCCATATGATCACAGATATCTACATATACATACATATCTATGTATGTGAAGAAAAGCTGATTAAGGCACGCTTCACCCACTTCTTCGGTAAGTTGGGCAAAATATTGCAAAATCTGTAGTAGAGACGAATACTATTTATGTTCAGTGTTATATGTACATACGAACGTCGCTAGTACGCCAATCGTTTACGCCTGCGTACTTATGTTTACATTGATGTGTATGTACGTAGCTGAGCACATTTTTTTTTTTTGCTTTCTTTATTTCTTACCTCAGGCTTTGGCTTTGTACAAATACTACGTACTCAAAGAGGCAAATAAGCCAGTAAGAAGAGTAACTAAATGCGTCCAGTTGCAGCTCTGCATATGCATGTGTTTGTATGTACATTGTATATATGTATGTATGTACATATGAATATATCGCCGCTTGTGCAACTCTTTTGGTTATTGTACGAAGCTTTAGGCTGAGGGTTTGCCTAACTGCTGGGCATACCACCAATTGTATTAATTTCCCTGCAAATAAAAGCGGCACCAAAAAAGGCGATATGTAGCAATAACCGACCCATCAAGCAAACGACTTATCAATCTAAGAAGTCAGCCAAGTGTGCTCCGATCATATCTAGTAAAAGTTATTACGTGAGCGCATGGCGCTGTCTTCGGGACATTGCACTTGTACTTACAGCTTTAATGCGATGCAAATGTTCGAACGCAAAAACATTTCAAAGCCCTATGATCTTGAACATTTATTTACATATCGAGCTCTAACCGCCAAAATAACGTAACCGTTCAGTTTTGTATAAAGAACAGGATTCCAACGCGAAATTTTAATTAAATCGAAATTTGAAAAGATATACTAAAACAAATAAATAGCTGAGTAAAGAAATTGTATGTGCACGGCTTCAAAGTCATTAAATTATTAATAAAAGCAGTTATAAAAGTTTTTTTTTTTAATTATGTATTTCCAGAGTAATATCATATAAGAAACATAAAACTCAGATTGAGACTCGAGATTGAACACTTTTTTTCGTCACTGAACATCACGCTTTGCCACTCCTCATCCTAAAACTGGTACTTGTCGGCAAATGCCAAACGCGCGCTTATATGCCGAGGCAAAAGGTCTGGTTGTGGTACCATAGAGAGGTGTTTTACATTAGGGTTTTGATGTATTATTTGACAAATTCTCATTCTTGTAGCGTTTAGACTCATATGACGCTTTATTTCTGCACAACTCATTTGACATAATATGCTATGGTATATTGAAATACAGTGCACGTCCAGTAGAACGAACTTTCGGAATAACGAATTTTCGGTTCAACGCATCGTCAAAATTATCTCACGCACACGATTTTTATTTTTCGATACATATAACGAAAGCTGTTTATGTTTTTTTGCTGAAACTTCGTGTTCTTTGCAAAATCAAAGTTTGTTTTAACATCAAGTTACTTTCGGTATTAAAGGATTTGCAAAAAAATAATCGCAGTGAAGAAAAGCTTGGAAATTGTCTGTAAAAAATAAATACACAAAATGTTTGAATGTTTTTTGTCTTTGAATTAAAGACAGTATTTATATATTTTTTCAAACTGAAGGCATTCAGTTATTTTATTGAAAAGATTGGGGTATTGCACCATACGACAGTAAATTTTACACACACAAAAACTAATCACCCTCATTGCGAGAAGCGTGTCGAATGCGAGTCGTTTTTCGAGAGTCGAATCGTATCGAAAATTTCACGTCATTGCCTAAAATTTCCACTCGACTAGTGCATTAAAACGGAAAAACTTGGCAGCACTGTATGGTTTTCGACGATTTTAGTCGTTGTGGAGTCGTACAATTTAGCCTAATTTACGACTTACGCAATGATGCTGAATATATTCGCAAAACTATGTTTAAATTATTGTAAAACTGCGTACTCAGTTTTTCTCTCTGTCGTCAGGATTTTTTTTTAAGGGCAAAATGGAAAATGTCGTTTGCAAATGTTGTCCTTCAATATTCTCGAAAATTTGCAATATTTATTTTTGAAAAAAAAAAATTATTGAGGACTAACGACACGATCTCATCGTCGAATTTCGTCCTGCAAACTTTACTAAGTTAAAAAGGTAAAATTTATTAAAAGCGCATTCTCAATACCTATTCGTTTTTTTAAATCAAAAAATTTATCGTTTATAAATTCTACAGAATTTTCTCTCTCATTTGGTACCCATATTGTTATTCTACATTTCACTGATAATAATTTTTTATATCGATTCTTTCGAGTGTTTTGATTTTTTTTTGTTTATGTCTCTCGGTGTTATAGTTAAAACAAAAAAAATCACTCGATTTAATAACTATTTCTATATTACGAACAAGGCGAATAACATAAGATTCGTTATATTGGGCGTTCACTGTAATTGGACCAAGTTTGGTGGAAATCGATAAGGCGGTTATCGATATACACTTATGTAATCAAAGTTGGGTGGTGCCACGCCCATTTTACAAAAATCTATAATCTTCTTTCTTATTAAAAGATTGTTATAAGTTATTGAAATATCGGAGTAATCGTATTTCCGAAATTTACCGTTACATGGTAAGGGTCGTTTTCCGACGTAACCTTTAGCTTTAAAGCTCACTTCATATTTAAAGGTTGGATTAAAAAGAAAGCTATATCTAAAGTTAAGCATTTCTGTTAGCGGGTTTTGTCCAATGTATGGTTTTTGGTTGTAAACCAATTTAAACCCGATAATAAAATGCCTTACTTTGGACACAATCATAAATTTTAATGCAATCTTTAAATATAAAGTTAGTTTTAAAGTTACGGATTACTTGAGAAAACGGTCCTAATTGTGCGTAATTTTAGTCCGATTTCCAAAATTTTCAGCATATTACTTTTTGCGCAAAGGTTGATAAATGTACCGAGTTTAGTGGAAATTCATAAACCGGTTAGCGAGATACAGATATGTACATAGGTTTCTTGAAAAAACCTAAGGTAAAGACTCCTTGTCCATATGAATAGGGGGTTTCGACATAACTTCCACGTCGTAAAATTACTAGCATCGGTCGATGATTATAGTTCATGGAAGTAAAGTCTGATATTAGTTCCACAGATGTGATTCATGGAAGTTATCTCAGACATAAGTTCCATAATAATTGTATATTAAGGATGGTGCTCCCCCTCTCTGGCGATGTAATTATTGTGGAAGTAAAGTCACACATAACTTCAATGAGATTTTCATGAAAATCTTCTGGAAATTATGTCTAATATTCGTGGAAATTAAGTCTGAAATAGGTTCCACGGGCCCATGGGAGTTATGTCAGTTACCCATGATTAGCAAGCGTTAAGAAATAGTTTTTCGCATTTTCTTACAAACACGTAATTTTGAGTTGTGTCTGCAACATACCATTGGTTGGAGCCTTAAAACGCAAATGCTTTATTCAACGCTTTTTGAGCAAGTACATATTTAAAAGTAAATATAAACAACTACATATAAAAAATCTTTAAATTACTATTTACAATAAGTAATAAACCGCAAACTGAAAAACTATTTTAAAATTCTCTCCTCTTTGGCATACGCAAGTTTTTCAATTCCAAGTTGGTGGCCCGTCCCCTATTGCTTACTTATCCAGCTTGACAACAATTGTTTCAGATGGCCCAATCTCGAAGTTTGAAAAATAAACTTTCTGACCTTGTTCCTCGTCAAGCATTTTTACGCCACTAAAGTACATAGCGGTCATATCCAAGGACACCCGCTTCTCACCGAAATTCGACACCGAAACAAATGAGTTGCGACGCGGATAGACCCGTTCAACCACCAAGATGTCGTTGCCGCTGGAACGTATTTCTGTGTTGGATAGCGGCGGCATTTCCGGCTTACAGATGGCATTCTTATACAACGAAGGCGATCGATCACGTAACTTAATCATGTCCGCCACAGTTTGGAAGTTATCGTGGCTGTGGCGCGCCGTATGTGGCAGCCAAGGCAATGTTTCACGATTCGTAAACTGTTTTGTCGTATTTAACCACTCCATGGTGGATAGATGGTGCAAGTGCTTGGTGTCATTGTGCTCACTGTGCGGATCGGCGATAGCCTCCAGTGCAATTTCATCACCGTAGAAGATATTCGGCGTACCTGGCAGCATGAGCTGCATGAGCGTTGCAGCCAAAGTGATATTCTTTGTTCGGCCATTGCGGGTAAAACGCTGCTGATCAACACCGCCAATTGACCAATGTAGCCATGGACCCTGTTCGGTGGGTGCAAGTGGACCATTCAGAATTTTGTTGATATGTTTTTCTAAGTTCAGTGTACCATTCAACACATGCAAGTGTACATCGACCAGATCGAGATGTTGCAAGACCAACGAATGCAATGCCGGATGCAAATCCTCAATTAGCGCTTCATTCGCAATTAATATGCGATTGGGACCGACAAGCTGCTTCCACTCATGCAGATTCGCCAGTAAACGGTCGTCATGCGCGAAATGCTCCAAACCTTTGAGATAAAACCCATCCACGCCCAGGTGTAACCATTTTAGTATAGCAGCGCTAATTGCATTGCCAGCAGATGAGATGGGAACTTGCGATGCAGTTTTTGTGCTCGCTGTTGTTTTAGAATCAGTATTTTCAGATTCATTATTTGATTGCATTGGCAGCACTGTTACTATAGCGGGTGCCGTCGTCGTGGCGTCATCCAACCTGCTAATCAACGCGCCAATTGGTAGATCCAGTAGCAAAGAGATATTGTGTTCGTGTAATGTTGCCGCCAGTTGTTGAATTTCTGCATCGCCACCCAAGACGCTGGCTACCTCAAAGACCGAGGTTGGGTGCTCGAAGTCATCCGGGTAATTCGTTGAGGGAAAGATGGAGTTCAAGCGCACGCCGGCCACCCCCAGCGAGGCCAAGTAGTCGGCACGTTGGGAAATGCCATGCAAGTCACCGATGCCATCGTTGTTGGAGTCCTGAAAACTGGCGGGAAATATCTCGTAAAACACGCTGCCGCGATACCAAGCTGTTCTGTGGGAAAAGAAATCTTAAGTTTAGTTATCAGTGCGAACTATTCTAATCTACGCAAATGTGTTTACTCACTTTGGGTTGCAAGTCTTCGGCAATGTAACAATCATGGCCACCACTACTGCGCACATAGCCAATAAGCTGGACATGAAGACGAAGAAGGTGCATTTTCGTATGAGCGGCCAGTTCCACGAAACGAAGGAGGGTGTATCTTTTGAGAGCGTGCCGTTCGGTCCATTGTTGTCCTGTGGAAGTTAAAACATAAAATTAATTCAAACTCTTAGAGTCAATATATCAAAATTTTGCGGAAATTGCAAACATAAATTACTGGAAATAGATTATTCTTAATATTGTTCAATTGCTCGTGCCGCTTTTCTAATGTTTAAGATGTTATAGGATACCATAATTAAGTATATTAAAGTTTTGAAAATTTCATAAAAAATGTAAACTACTTCCTTGGAAAGAGTCAGACTGAGCTATTATTTCCTATACAGGGCAAACAGAAATATAAAACTGGTTATGGAAATGGCTTTGGGCCCTCCTGGTAAAAACAAAAGCATTGAAAAAGTAAATCATGTCTAGGTCCGTTAACTCCCAAACGTTCATGGTCCCGCCAAGCAGATGGATTAGATTAAATTAGGGGTGAGGAGATGATTTCTCCCCAAATATGTTCGCATGTATGTATGTATTGGATCATATGAAAGATTAGGTTAGGTTAACCTGGCCGGCGTTGAGCCGCACATAGACCGGTCCTTTTTACGCGTTAAAGTAAACATCACAAAGGATATCAACGCTTTTTACGAATTTTAGTAAAAAATTCAGCCCTACTTTTGAGAAGTCTTCTTACTTCTCGAATTGGTAGGCTCCCAAGCATTTTGGTCATGTTTTTGACAGTGCAGAACATCGGCAGAGAAGATGTTCCAAGGCTCCTGCACCTGTCCACGCTAGTCATACCCAGTTTTTTTTAGTAAGAGCAGCCACGAGAGTAATAATTCTGCAGTCTTCCTTAAAAGTAGCAAAAAATCAAATAAAATAAACTTTTTAATATACCACGGTTTGATAAATGGACTAAAGAATAGAAAATTCTGTTTCCTATATAAATAGCCACATAAATAATTTAATCGGTGAGTTCGACAACCGTACAAGTCCAATTGTTGATATTTTAAAGTAAGATAGCCATTTTGTTTAAAATTTGATACTGCGTTATACTGAAGGCGAAGAACTGGAGTTTTATTACCATATCACATCATGGGAAACCACAAGTACTGAAAGCGATAACAAATAACAGCGAGATGACAGTATTGATGTTGAATTTTTCCTCTGTTTTGAATAAAATTTATTTATTTACGACATCCTGTGAATATCCAAATACCTGAATACCTTTTCATCTGTCATTGGAAGACTATTTTGTTTCCTGTAAAACTACTATTAAAAATATATTGGAAACTACGAGATCTAGAACTTGTCTATGTATGCCGATAGTCAGAACGCAAATTTTGTACGGTTGTCCGATTCATCGATTCAATTTATAACATATAAAATGAAAAGCGTGGGTTGCATGTAATAGAAAAGGACGGCTCTCCATCTTGCTAAAGTGAGCAGCTATTCATGGCATGGATACAGAGTGAAGTGCGAATGGCTTGAAATGCTTTTAGGCAAGAGCTCATGTCAGACCTAAATTTGATCATCAAATAAAGGCAGCAACCGAATGATTTCAAAATCGGCGTTGGTTTCTACAGAGGCTGGGAATAAAATCGGCAAAGGGACGTCCATAATACGCGTAATATATGGCGGGAACACTTTCGTGACAGATTTGATGAAGGAGAACACAGGCCATACTATAGAAATGATAACTCCATCAAGACGAGTTAAGGTCAACCTTAATGCAGCTCAAAAAATCACCAATCTACGAAATTGTTTTTTGTAAGTGCTTAGTACACTGAGGGCAAAAAATATTAAAATTAGATAGAAACGTTATTCAACGAAAGTACTGTATATTGGTAAATATTCAATTCATATTAAAAGGATCGCGTTCGTACTGAAAAAGCATCCGTGAAGTGAATAATCAAGATAAAAACCAAAAAGTAAAAAAATATTTAATTTGCATGTCGCCTGCAGTGGAATTCGAACCCAGACCCTCTCTGGATATCAACAAATTGTGGCAAGCATCTTTGCACACTCAGCTACAGCCAGACATATAAATTTGCTTTCAAATGTTGACTTTCCATCAACACCACAACACGCGATTTGTACGGATAAACATTTAATCCCGATCCCGCCCATCCCGATGCTTTTCAGAATTGTACCGCGGGTCCCGTGGGTCCCGAAATCTATAACTAATAAAAATTCACAAGGTTTTAAATTAATTTAAAAAAATAAAATAATAATAATTAAAGATCTGGCATCTGCCGATTATTTTGTTTTGCTTTGCTGTTCGTTTTTGTCTCAATAAAACATAAAAAAGTGCAGACATATTTATCGCTTTTAAGGAAAATTTCTGAATTTGCGGAAGTTGCGGTTTTATCGGGAGTGTCGGGAACGGACCTTGGTCCCGTCTGAATATTAAAAAAAAAAGTTTGTACATCACTATTGTATAAGTGATTTGTGTTATTTATGATTACCCTGAAGGCATCATATTCGGTTTTGGTTTAAAATAGAAGCTTTTTAAGCCAATTTCATGAATTTTATAAAAAAAAAAATTGGTGATTTTTGGCGACTTTTTTCAGAAATAGCTCTATTCTTTTTAAACAATCTGAACACCCTGGTTGTAACCGCTCAGCATGCTGGGGATGCGTATGTACACTTACTTATTCATATTTAGATGTGAACAGTCAAATACGTGCGTAATAAAGTTTTGTATGAAATTATTATTTTTAAATACGAACATTTTTATACGGTAATCAAAGGTATTAATTTTTACTATGCGTTATTTCTCTCAGTGTACGTACATATGCACATCAGACAGTACCACCAAAGAAAATAAAGCTCGCCGTACCGCCTAGTCTAAAGTATATTTGCGTGGAAATTTCGAAGCATTCCGAGGTATTGCTGAGGAAGTATTTCAGTTTGAAGGCAATTTCGATTTTTTTTTGGCCAGCCTAGGGGTCGCATTTTTACATTTTTCGGTGACACCTATGTATGTATGTATGTACATATGAACATGCCGTATTAAACAAATTTTGTTAAATAGTTCTACTGGAACAATCAAAACACATCCTAAGCAAAAGTGTGTAAGTACTAGAACGGGTACTTAGGGTCAATGAACTTTGGAGCAAAAATGTATCACCTCGAGATAAGAATATCGATATATCATACCTTCAGATCCGACTACAAATGCGGAAGATATGAAAAAAATTTAAAATAGCGACATCTACGTTCGGCTAAAATAAAAATATAATTTTTTTTCGAAATTACCTTTAGACTCAGGAAAGTACGGCGGACTTTTTTCTTCCGCTACGACCTAATGCACATACATATTTTTAAGAAATGCCTCCAACTACTAAAATGCCATTTCCATATTTGAATATCAACCGATAGCTTTTTTATTGTATCCAAACAAATCCCCAAAAACTCTGAGTAGTTAGGCCGCGAAATCACTGCGTGAGCGACTACACGTAACCAACTTCCGACCCCTGTTATGGCTTAATGGACTCCTAATATGTTTACTTTCAATAAACATGTGTGCAAAATTACCCAGCATACCTGCGCATACTCTAAGCAATTGTATACAATCTTTGTTTCTTAATTGTTTTAAAATATGTACGCATATGTCTGTACATTAGTATGCGCCTTATTTCTATAGAGCCATTTTTTTTATGTTACAAAGGAAGACTGGTCTTAAATATATTCGTTTGGTCATTGAATCGTGCTCTGCGTAAATTTTCAAAATCGGATAACAAACGACATCGTAACTCAAAGGCCCCAAAATTCCGGGAATTCATGCAATTATACATAAAAGGGAAAAATGGCCTATAACTTAGCAAAAAAAGCTTAGTTATTTTAATGCAACTTAAGATAATTTTTCACCCCGATCTCTAACACATTTTCATATCTCCTTAAATTTTGAAGTTATAATGGTTTCTTGGTTTAAAATTATAGTTTTCTAAATTTTGGGAAGTAAATTTCTTGAAATAAATTGTATGCGCATATTTAGATTCAGCAGGCAAAAGCACATAGACTGCCATTCAAGCATATTAAACTTGACACTGACTTATAAGTAATTTTTGTCAGTTTGTGAGACATCTGAGGCATATATAATTTGATTTCACCCAACAGTTAATAGTTCAAACATTTCACTTAGACCTTTGTTTGGCTCCTTTTAGCTATTCAATAATCGTTGTAGTTATCATGCGAGTACATGTGTACCATATGTACATTAGGGTAGTCCAAAAATGCATGTGAAAAAGTAAAGTCGGAATTTTTATGCTCTCATTGTTGCTGGATTGTTCTATGCCGAGAAAATATACCCCTTTTTTATCTTGAAGTATATTTTTTATTTTATATAGAAAAAGACCCAATTTTCGTAGAAATGGTATAAAATTCATAAAAATCAATATTTTTCGATCGCAAAACTCTGTTTCTCTGCAGGAGATTACCAATAATAATACCCAATCGTAAATTTAACCATTTTTTCATAGTAACTATATTTATATGTCCGGAAAAAACCCCCAAAATACCCCGGCAAAAGGCAATGGGGGACCAATAAAAATCGTTAGTATTAAAAAATTATTAAATAAACAATTGGGTATTATTATTTTGAAAATCTCCTGAAGAGAACCAGAGTTTTCCTATCGAAGAATATTGATTTTCAAGAGTTCTATACCATTTCTACGAAAAGTTGTTTTTTTTTCTTCCATATAAAATACATGGAAAACTCTGAGCGCTTTGAGCGACCTCAAAATATTTTTTGATTTCAAAATAAAAAATAGGGGTAGCATTAAAATTTCGATCTTACTCGTTTTTGAACAATTTTTTGGATTTTTCACTTTTTTTGGGGGAAATTGACGAACTTATTGCTCAAATAGTCAAATCTTTGACTTTCTAATAATTTAAAATAATGGAAAAATATTTATTTCTTTATTTTGCTTTTTTTTTTTTGTTTTTTTTTTTCGC